GCTCATCCATTTTCTTAAGAATGGTTTAAAGGCTGAAATGTAAAGCTTATCATTTTATAAAACGTTTAGTTTTTGTGAAAGCGTGTGTCTGAACTGTAAGTGAAGCTTTTACAGTAATTGTACAGTTTAATACAGTGCTATAGACACTGCCCATATGCTGTTACTTGTATTTGTGCAGGTCTTAAAAGCTCTTATATTTGAGCTTAAAATCCTGCAGAAACCCGTTTAATGTTTTCTCTGCAGAGATAAAGCTAAACTTTAGCATCTATTGAAGTGTGTAGAGTTGTCATATTTGCTAACTTACTCAAAGGAATTGTTTTATTCACTCAGGTTGTCTTATATGAGGAGGCATTAAAACACAGCGAGATGAATCGACACTGAAGCAGTGTGTTGAGCTGAACACAGAGCAGTGGAGATGCTATTAGAAATGTTTTTTTCTCTCTCTCTTCTTCCTTTATTAGGATTAGCAACAAGTACACACAAATATACAACCCTAATAACAGCAAAATCACAAAACAAAATGAAAAAAAAATCCCACCAACAACAAACATACAGGGCCAGTAATATAAATTACATTATATAAAGTAAAGGTGCCTCAAAAGGCACTTTTTAACAGCCAGGCAGAAGGTCACAGAGCATTCAGTCAACTGTAGATTATAGGAAAGAACCAATATTACAAGATGCACACAATGTTATCGATTTTAAGGCTTTAACATTGCTGGAGGTAGATATTGTTTCCAAGTAATACTTCAGATCTTTACAAAATATAAGAAATAGGGGCTTTACAGACAAAAATGTGCACTTATGTATAAAACATTTTGCTAGCAAAATAAATAGATTTATTAGAAAATAAGTGTCCTTTAGATTCTTATCAACATGATAAAAACCAAATAAAACATCCTTGTACAACAAAGACAAATTGTCTAAGAGAGAAGAACGTATAAAAGCAACAAAGAGGATCCTTCTCCGGAAGCATCTTTTTAATCTAAACATTCACAGGGTAAACTCGATGTAGCAATTTAAAGGATACCTCTTTAACCTTGTTCGTGTTTGAGGAGAGAATGTCATGGAGGGTATATATAGATCAAATAGTTAATAGATGTGAGAAAGTTATTAATATTTTAAGATGTGTAGTTGGAAGAGACTGGGGTGGGGATAGAGATACATTAATGATGGAATCATCAGATCCAACATCGACTATGGATGTATGGCATATGGG